ATAAGGTTTTTTTTTTAAAGAGGCTAGTTGATAAACAACAATTACTTAATATATGATGATAAACTATGCGTTTATAAAGCACAATGAAGAAAATAACTATATTTTTTATGGTTTTTTGAAAATATTCACGAAAATGAGAAACCTCTATCTAGACCATACAAGAATAAAAAGAAAATTTAAATTACTAAAATCAGGAATGAAAAAGAGGACTTGACAAAATTCAAAAGGATTATAAGGGAATGTCATGCACAATTCTATGTCAACAAATTAGATAGCCTATATATTGTGGCCCAATTTCTAGAAAGACACAAGCTGACAAACTGATATGGTGATAAGTAATGAGAAATAGAAAATCCAAATTGACCTTTAATAAGTAAAACATTCGAATTCATAATTAAAAAAAATTCTTTCAAAACACAAAAAAAGCTCAAGACCAGATGACTTTATTGTGATTCTACAAAACATCAAAAAAAGAATTAGTGACAATTCTTTACAAACTCTCCAACAAATAGAAGACTTCCCAGCTTATTCTATGAAGCCAGTATTATCTTAATACCAATTATGAACACAAAAAATTTTAACCAAATACCAGCAACATGTAAAGAGGATTATACACTACTAGAGGCCTGGTGTACGAAATTTGTGCATGGGTGGAAGGGGAGTCCCTCAGCCTGGCCTGCGCCCTCTCACAATCTGGGATCTCTTAGTTATAGTCTCTAGGTCTGGCCAGTGATCAGGGCCTATCGGGGCTTTCCCCCAGCTGGTGGCTGGAAGCTGGCCCCGCCCCTACCGCTGCCATTGCTTACCATCTGTGGTGCTACCATCCTCCCTCCACCCCCACCATCATTCGCCTCCCTCTGTGATCACTTGGCTGGCCTGGGCCTTCTTCTGCCGGGTGATCGCTGGTTGGCCCTGCACACCCACCACAGCTTCGCTGGCCAGTGGCCTGGGCTTCCCTCTTTGGGGTAATCACTAAGGCCCTTCCACCATCGATCACCCCACTGGCCAGCAGCCTGGGTCTCCCTCTGTAGGGCGATAGATCATGGAGGGCCCCCCTCCCAATCAGTCGCCCCACAGAGGGTGGCCTGGTCCTCCCTCTGTGGGGTGATCATGGGGCAGTGGTGGGGCCTCCCAAACAATCACATCATGCCCACCTTGCCTCGCCTGGTGCTGGTGTGTGTCATAGCGTGGTTGTCCAAAGGTCATCCAAACACTTGTTCTGCTGTTCAGTAGTTGGATCAATTTGCATATTACACTTTTATTATTATAGATGGCCAAGTGGGATTTATCCAGAAATGCAAGATTGGTTCAGCATTTTAAAAAGCCAAAAGTACTACACCACATTAGCGGAGCAAAAGAAAAATAGACACATGTGACTTAACTAGAAGTAAAAGGAAATTTCCTTGATCTGATAAAGAGCATATATAAGCCCACAACTAGCATATTTTAACAGCAAAAGACTGAAAGCTTTCTCTCAAGATCAAGAACAAAACAAAGGTATTTCCTCCTATTACTTCCATTCAACTTTGTACTATAGATTTAAACCTGGGCAATTAGGCAAAAAAAGATATAAAAGATATCCACGTTAGGAAGAAATAAAACTCTTTACAGATGAAATTATTTATAGGAAATTTTAAGGAATTCATACATACATACACATACAACTATAAAGGCTAATAAATGAACTCAGCAAAGTTACAGGATACAAGATCAATATACAAAAATCAATTGTATTTATACACTAGCAACGAACAACCTGAAAATTAAATTAAGAAAGCATTTCCACTTACAATAGCATCAAAAAGAATAAAGTACTGCCGAAACCAGTTTGGCTCAATGGATAGAGCGTTGGTCTGCAGACTAAAGAGTCCCAGGTTCGATTCCTGTCAAGGGCATGTACATTGGTTGTGGGCACATCCCCAATAGGGGGTATACAGGAGGCAGCTAGTTGATGTTTCTCTCTCATCGATGTTTCTAACTCTATCCCTCTATCTTCCTCTCTGTAAAAAATCAATAAAAATACTTTAAAAAAAAAAAAGAATAAAATTCTTAGGAATAAGAATAACAATAGAAGTGGAAGATTTACACACTGAAAACTACATGTCATTGAAAGAGATTAAAGAAGACCTAAATAAATAAAAATGGCAACCCACAATTGTACGTTATAACATTTAGTGTTCAGATGGTAGTACTTCCCAAATAGACCTACAGAGTAGTTATAATCTCACTAGTCTTTTTTGCACAAATTGAGAAACTGATAATGAAATTCACATAGAAAAGCAAGGGACCCAGAACAGCCCACACTATCTTGAAAAAGAACAAAGGGAGAACTTACACTTCCCAATTTTGTAACTTGCTACAAAACTATAGTAATCAAGACATTGTGGTTCTGGCTGATAAAAAGAACAATGGAATAGAATTGAGAGTTCCATTGATTTTTTTATGAGTGCTAAAATGATTCAATGAGGAAAGAATGGCCTTCTGACAAATGGTACATGATATCAAAACTAGACACCATAATAGAAAAAAATACATAAATTGGATTTGTCAAAATTTAAAACTTGTTTTTCAACAAACATTATTGAAACAGTGAAAACAACCCACAAAATGGGAGAAATATTTGCAAATTATATATCTGATAAGGGTTAGCATCTAGGATATTTGAAGAACTCTTTGAAGAACAGTAAAAGAAACAGCCCAGTTTTTTAAATGGGTAAAGGATTTGAATAAACGTTTGTCCATATAATTATAAAAATTGCTCATAATTATAAAGGCAGTGTTTTTATTAAAATGCCTTTCATTTTCAACATTGAGCTATCAGCTATTAAAGTGTATATACATTTTTGGGGGGCATCTTGTATTTATAAAACCTAACAAACCAGTATTTTGAAAATTGTTAATAAAAGGGAAAAATTAACCATTTATCTTGCCTTTTTTGCGAAATTATTTAGTATACCACAATATAGATAAATATCTGATTGAGAAATTTTATTTTTAGAAGTATAAGGAGTTATAGCATTTAAAAGTACCCAAACACCTTTTTCCAACCATAATAAACTAATGAATCTAATCAGTGGTCATCAGCCAGCATCACCAAAAAGAGAGAAAACCAGATGTATGTACCTGTGGAATAGTAGTCTTGCCAAAACAGTAGAACTTTAATCAGATCAAACCCTTATATCTCACTACCAAATTACAGGAAATAGGGAACAAATAACAAATAACACGATGGAGATGCAGTCATTAAAAATCAGACTCCGAGAAACTATAGGATATTCTTAAAATTACAAAACAAGAGTGAGAAAGGAACCTGTAGATTAAAAGCCATCTGCCAATTATATGGTTTGTATTTGGAGCTCAATTTAACCCAAGTGTAAAATGTTAATGTTTATAATTTGAGAAAAGGGTATCACTGAACTATATATTTGCCAAAATAGTTTATTTGATATAATAGTTCTGAATGGGTTATGTTTTCCTTATATTTTAGAAACAAATAACTAATCTACAGGTGAAATAATGTGATAGCTGGGATTTACAAAGTATTATGGAGGAAAAGTGCTACTCTAAAGGAGTTTGAGGGGATATAATTAATCTTTTTTCCCCCCAGAGTTCAGCTTTTTATTAAATCTGTTACAAAAGAGGTTTGTTTAATCAAAAAGACCAAAGCCCATATCACACTCCTCAGATTCTTCTTTGCTTCTGCTTTCTTCTCTTCAGTGGGGCAACAATGATGGAGGGGGCAGGACCTCCTTCTGGTACAGCTCTACTGCTGGGGCAGATCCACTAGCCCTTGCTGTAAAGGAGGTTCCCAGTGTTGATATTAGTCAGAGCCTTTGCAAATAAGCCTGGCCAGAAAGGTTCAACATTTATACCAGCTGTTTTAATGGGACCATTGATCTTATCCTCCATCATTGGCACTTCATATGCAGATGAGCTCCGAGATCAGGCAATGGAGCTAGCAAGTGCTGGGTGAGCACAGCCAGGAACGGTGCTGGTCCCCAGATGAAGTGAGGGTCTCACCCCAACTCAGCCTTAGTGCTTCCAAAGGACCAAGCACTTTTCAGCAGCTGGGGAAAGCGGGCGATAGATTTATTCTGTATCTTGATTGTGATGGTGATATCCACAAGATTAGCAGACATTTGGTCCACAACCAAAGGTTTTTGATATTTGCTCCTGTCCAAAATGCCCATGGAGACTTTTGGTCCACGCCGACCCATCTAGGCTACCTAGGCAAGGAGAGGTATTGTTGGCATATAGTCACACGCAATTATCCTATATAATAAAAGTCTAAGATATTAAGTGTCCAGTCGTCCGGTTGACCATTCAACCAAAGTGTAATATGTTAATGATATGCTAAGAATGCTCAACCACTTGCTAGATGTGCACTGACCACCAGGGAGAAGATGCTGTGACTCGTAGGTGAGCTTGCTGCTGGGGTCAGCTGATAGGACTGATCAGAAATGGGCCGGACATGCCCTCCTGGGGCCCCTCCTTGGCTGGCCAACTTCCCACATCCCTCCCCTGCCCTGATCATGCACCAGTGGGGTCCCTTAGCCTGGACTGTGTCCTCTTGCAATCCAGGACCCCACAGGATATGTTGGAGAGCTGGTTTCAGCCCAATCCTGCCGGATAGGCCATGGGACCCCACTGGTGCACAAAATTGTGCACTGGGCCTCTAGTTGAATTAATAAAACATGATATATTTTTTATGTATTAATCCTGTAAACCAAAAGCATAAATAAGTGCTATGGCTGTTTAAGCCCAGCAACGTTGTTTTAAGCATGGACATTTTGGACAGGACCAAATATGAAGGAACATTTGGCATGGACAGAATATTCTTTTAAATGAACCATTGTATAGTATAGTGGTAATGAATACATAATTGGTTGTGGTTATAAGCAAGTTTAAGTGTTATAATTAAAAACATTTTATACTGTATAATTACATTTGTAAAGTTACTCTGATAAAGTTTTATTTTGTTTTTATTTTGTTGTTTTTAGGATGAGAGAGGCTGCTAGAAAAATAGAAGAAAGACATTTTTCCAACCATGCAACACATGTTGAATTTCTGCCTGTTGAGTGGCGGTCAAAACTTACTCTTGATGGAGGTACATTATGTTTAAAAATTAAATGATTTGGCCCTGTCCAGTATGGCTTAGTGATAGATCCCACACACCAAAGGATCAAGGGTTCGATTCCTAATTGAGGGCATTTATCTGGTTTGGAGGTACATCCCAGGCCAGAGTCAGGCACAGTTAGGTGGCAGCAAATCAGTGTGTCTCTCACATCAATGTTTCTCACTGTCTCTCCCCTTTCCTTCCTCTCTTTCTAAAAATCAATGGAAAAATATCCTCAGGTGAGGAATAACAAATTATTTAGCCAATGGCAACTGAGTGATGCTCATTGGGAACAAAGGATTCTTATTTAGTTGTCTTGAGGTATATTTATTCTTTGTTCTAGAACACTTAAGAAAATAAAACCCATTAATTTTTAAAAAATAGTTATATACTGACTTAGGAGCACCGTATAGATTTCACATATAGCAGTTTCCATGCATGCCCTCTATGGACTGGGGAGGGCAAGGAGGGCAGGATGGATGGTATGTGGATAGAACAAAATGTTTTCTATAGTTTTTTTTTTAATATATTTTATTGATTTTTTACAGAGAGGAAGGGAGAGAGATAGAGAGCTAGAAACATCCATGAGGGAGAAACATCAACCAGCTGCCTCCTGCACACCCCCTACCGGGGATGTGCCCGCAACCAATGTACATGCCCTTGACCGGAATCGAACCCGGGACCTTTCAGTCCGCAAACTGACGCTCTAACGCTGAGCCAAACCGGTTTCGGCATGTTTTCTATAGTTTTTGACAAAAAAGTCATTTGTCTTGTTTTTAGAAGTCCAGTGCACTATCCATTACACAGTGGAGCCACCTATCTTGTCAATACTCTTAAAACATATTGACACATTTCTTTTTATTATTATTATTGATTTCAGAGAGGAAGAGAGAAATAGAAACATCAATGAAAGAGAATCATTGATCAGCTGCCTCCTGCATGCCCCCTACTGGGGCATGTGTCCTTGGTCAGAATCGAACCCAGGACCCTTCAGTCCACAGGGCCGACACTATCCACTGAGCTAAATCAGTTAGGGTACAATTCTTTATGAGCTTACATTCTCTTCCTAATAATTTTCCTTCCCTATATTTGGAAGGTAAAATATCAGGTTTTTTGTTTTCTTTTGTTGTTTTTTTTAACATTCCCTGGGCTGGTAATATTTAAGTAAATCATGTTTATTTTCTTCTTAAAGATTGTTAGCCAAAATATACATATTTTAAACAAAATGTATCCTTTCAGTATGAAAACCATTAAAATAGAATGTTTAGGTTATTTACATAATCTGGAAAAGAGAGAATATAGTAGATACAATAGCAGCTGCCATTTGTGGAGCCTTTACTGTGTGCCTGGCACTTTGCAATTCATTTTTCATGGAGTATCTCAATTTTCTCACAAATATATGAAATAGCTACATTATTTTGTCTTATTTTACTGTTAAGGAAACTGAAACTCTGTAAAAGGTGAATTTACCTAAGAATAGTAAGTAGAATCTAGCTTTGTTTAATGCCAGAGCCCTGATTCACTCACATTGCTAAACTGCCTCCCTGGATGATTTTCAAGTCATATTCTGTCACATAGGCAAGAATGTCAGTTATAGCTAATAGATCAAAATGGCATGAAAAATTGCAAATTGGTAAAACAAAAATACTAGTGATCAAAGAATTCATATCAGCAATAGTTCATATGTGAAAATTCTAGTGTAAAAATACTATCTTTTGGGCTTTTCCCACTCATTCAGATAAGTTTCTTGGACTAATCAGGAATTCATAGATGAATTCATGTTTAATAAAACCCTCAAAATTGTAATTTTTGTTACATTTAAATTATTAAGATAGAATCTTGAAGGTGGCATTATTCTGAGTAAAAGAAGCTAAAGGAAAAATACCACTCTTTATTCTCAATATACCTGACCCCAAATAAAGGTGTGTGGGGGGAGTGATTATCCCCCTACCACAAATTGTCTAATTCTTAGTACACACCAATTGGGTGTCCAACAATTTAACTCATTTATTATACTATCCAGATATAGCACAGATTAAAGGCAGAGTACCACAAGACTCCCCTCACTTCAGATGCCAATCACAAGTACTAGATTGATGCCCGTTATAAATTGGAGGTGGGGAGGGAGGTCCTATAACCCCATCTTGAGGTTTAATTTACTAGCTCTACCTTAAAAAATTCAGGGAACATTTATTTATATTTACTGATCTAAAGGATATTACAAAGAATATAGATGGCCCTAACCAGTTTTGTTCAGTGGATAGAGCATTGGCCTGCAGATTGAAGGGTCTTGGCTTGATTCTGGTCAAGGGCACGTACATCAGTTGCAGGCTCCATTCCCACCCCTGGTAGGGGCACGTGTAAGAGGCAACCAATCAATGTGTTTCTCTCACATCAATGTATCTCTCTCCCTCTCTTCCACTCTCTAAAAATCAACGGGAAATAATCCTCCGGTAAGGATTAACAAAAATATACATATATTCACCTATCTGGAAGTTCTCTTGTCCCTGTTGTTTAGGGGTTTTATGGAGGTTCCATTATGTAGACATAATTGATTAACTAATTGGCTGTTGTTAAAGGCAAAACAATAGGGACAGAGAACAGGTCAGTGGATGCCAGGGTTTATGGGAAGGCTAGGGTTTTAATTAAAAAAGGGTAGCATGTGGGAGTTTTTTAAGGTAATGAAATAGTTCTGTATCCTAATCATGGTGATAATTATATAAAACCATATGTGCATTAAAACTAAGACATATTTGTCCTAGCCAGTTTGATTCAATGGATAGAGAATTGGCCTGGTTCAATTCCAGGCAAGAGCATAGACCTCTATTGCAGGCTTGATCCATGGGGGAGGCAACCAATCAATGTGTCTCTTTCACATCAATGTTTTTCTTTCTCTGTTTTTCCCCTTCTCTTCCACTCTCTCTAAAAAAAGGAGTCAATGGGAAAATATCCTTGGGTGAGGATTAACAATAATAACCACCAAAAATCCAAGAGTTGTTTTTACTGTTTGTAAATTTTTAAATAATGATAAAAGGTACTTATCTATAGCAAACATCATTTTTTTAAGTTCCTAGAAATAAGTCTAATAAAATATGTACATTTATATTAAAAATGAAAAAACTTATGTTAAATATAAGTTAAATAAATATAAAGATAATTTTCTTAAATTACATGACTCAATATCTTGGAATTGTTAATTTCCCTAAATTGATTTATAGATTTCATGCACTTCCAATCAAAATCCTAATTATTTTTCCTGAAATTTTACAAGCTGATGCTAAAATTATTATAGAAGAGCAAATGTTCCAAAATAACAAAGATACAGAACAAGAGGGGATGAGGGGAGTCATGTTGGCACAAGGATAGGTCAGTGCGCTAGCCTAGAGACTCCGGGAAACAGACCTGCACTTAGTTAGAAAACAAACCTGATATATGCCTGAACTGATACTATAGATCATTGGTCAGCACACCGTAGCTCACAAGCCACACGGCTCTTTGGCCCCTTGAGTATTCTAACGCCATTTCAAAATAGACTCGCCCAGGCTGAAAACTGACTTCTGCACATGGGTCACGAAGTTTCAATCACACTGTATGTGCATGCCCACACGTGGTATTTTGTGGAAGAGCCACACTCAAGGGGCCAAAGAGCCGCATGTGGCTCGCAAGCCACCGTTTGCCGGCCACTGTTATAGATCATTGGTGAAAGGATGGCCTATTCCATAAATAGTACTTGATAACTAGTTATTTTTTGAGAGGAGAGGGGAGTAAAAACAATCCCTATCTCACATTCCAAATGGATCAAATATATGTGAAAGCCAGGACTTTTTAAAGTGTTAGAAAAATATAGGATTGTATCTCCTTAAAACAGGAAACACAACTACAAAGTAACATGGATAAACTTGATTAAAATTATTTCATTTGACATAAAGAATGAAAGACAAACCACAAACTAAGGAGAGAGATTGCAACAGAGCAACCGATATAGCCACCGAAGTTTTTGATTTGAGGGATAGAGAGTTAGAAACATTGATGAGAGAGAATCATCCATCAGCTGCCTCTTGCACACCTCCTACTGGGGATGTGCCCGCAACCCAGGTACATGCCCTTGACTGGAATAGAACCCGGGGCCTTTCAGTCTGCAGGCCGACACTCTTATCCACTGAGCCAAACCAGTTTCGGCTACCACCAAAGTTTTAATATCCAGAATAAAAAAGAGAGCACTTAAAGAGATTATTTATATATAATATGAATATGTTTTATATGTTAATATTTTAAAATATTTATATACTATATATAATATGCATCTCACTAGTGTATTAATAATTAAATGTGCGAATTAAAATTACAGTAAAATATCATTGACACCCATCAGTTTAGCAAAAAATTAAGGTGAGGCTGTGCTTCAATGAGGATGTGTAGGAGTGAGGAGTCTCATTCACTATTTTTGGGACTGTAAGTTGGTACAATCACTTGGGGAGACAGTTTGACATTATCTTGTAAAGTCGAATGTGTATGTGCCCTATGACACAGCAGTTTCACTCCTAGATATATATACCCTAAGGAAAATCTTGCACATGTGCACCAGGAAACATAAAGCAGTGTTATTAGGAGCATAGAACTTCTTTGTATTTCTATAAGAAATGCAAATTTTTCTGCATTTCTAATTATCTTATTAAGTGTTTAATAGAATTATTTCCCCATGGTAGAATTTCCATAAGTTAGCTGTAACTCAGAGTCTGCACATATTTGCAATACAGTTTATGTATAGGTTTTTTTCCAAAATAACTTACACCAACCTTATCTTATTTACTGCAGCTGCCCATTGCCGATATGCCTTTGTGCATATTTTTAATTTGACAGTTCTTCCTCATAGAATCTTTATTTTACTAAAAATAGATAAATGTAAAATGTAAAGAAACTTTAATTTGTTGCTGGTTTGCCACCAGTGCCACATGGGTATTGCCAGGCCCTGTGCATAGTCCAAAACAGAAAAGGAGGTACAGAAAGAGTGAGATCGTGTCCTTTAACACCTGTTCCAGGAATAGAGATGGCCTGGTTTGCTCTGGCTACCCCAGAATATCATGCAAACGGCAGTACAGAAAATGGTCAGGCTTCATAGATTTGACAGTGGCCTTCATCCTTTAATGCTCTTTCTCTTTCCCTTTTTGTCTATTTTTGTTCTTGCTATATTTTGCAAGAAGGAAAATATCATTAGATCCAAAACTAGTCTTGCATATTGAAATGTTAACTTAAATAGCTGTGATTTCAGATAATGTAATTTTTTTCACAATTTATTTTTTCTCCAAAGACAGATATCTTCTGTAAGTTTGTTTGTTTGTTTGTTTGTTTGTTTGTTTGTAGACACTGTTGATTCCATTACTCCTGACAAAGTACGAGGTTTAAGGGATATGTTGAACAGCAGTGCAATGGACATAATGTATTATACTAGCCCACTTTATAGAGATGAAGTAAGTATAATGATTATCTTATTGCTCTTGGTTATTTTTTAGAGTGATAGGGTATATGTCCTGAATTTTAATCTTTTATGCTTTTTTTTTACAAACAAGTGTGAAATTACAGGAATCCATTAATCTATAAGTAGCCTGTATTAATAGTGAATTTGAACATGTTCAAACTCTATATTAGTACCCTTAATAAAATGAATAATCTTGGAAGTAGAAGACTGTTTAGAAAACAGCTCTCTGAAAAATACAGTTTTCATAAATCTGATTAATTATATCTGTGATTGTTGTCCTAACAAAAGAGTTTTAGAAAGAAAATTCCTTCAAATTATATATATAAAAACCTAGGTGACCGGTAATATGATGTGCACTGACCACCAGGGGGCAAATGCTCAATGCTCAGGCATGGAAACATTGAACAGACTGGTGAATCTCCGTGGAACCGGTGGGGGGAGAGGGAGGAGAGACTAAGGCCGGAAGAGATTAAACAAAGATCTTATATGCATACTAAAGACCTGCTGCATGGATTTGTACACCTGTGGGGTCCCTCAGCCTGCCCTTTGAAAATTGGGCTGAAACCAGCAGTCTGACATCCTCTGAGGGATCTCAGGTTGAAAGAGTGCACAAGCCAGGCTAAGGGGCCCCACTGGTGCACAAATCCGTGCACCAGGCCTCTAGTTTGTATATAACAGACTTGCTTTTATTGGCGTCTATAGTAGATTCATATAGTTAAATGGTATTGTTACTTATGTAACACAAAAGGTAACCCTAAAGTGGATAAGGGCTGAAAATTTATTTAGAGGGATGAGAGAATCTCTACCAGTGCATTTTCACTTTATTGGTAAGAGAAAAAGAATTATGTTTCATAGGCATAACCTTGTTAATTATCTAACATGCATTAACTTGTTTAATCCTGCTTAGAACCCCGTGATTTAGATATGATTGTATCCTCGTTTGAAGGATGGTGAAAGGGATGCAAGGAGTAATTACCAGTAGAGCTGCTCTGTACTGCTCCAAGACAACCATTTCTGATTTTGTTCATTAGAAGTCATCATCCCCTGACTTCATCCAGGATATCCTTTAGATAGATAGCTACAGAAGTACGTTTGATTAGTTACCACAGAAACTTCCTTCTCTTCTGACTGCCATCTCCTTAGGATTTTTTTTTTCATTCCTCTTTCTATATCACCTTATTGCCATACACCAATATTGGGCAAGGTCTGCCTTGATTTTATTAAACTATTATACTAAAGGAAGCTATAAGGAGAACTGCTATTTTGGACCTAATTCTAGCCAGCTAATGATGGCTTAGTTGGTGAAGTATAATACTTACATATATATGTTCATAGTTCTTTATTGTATCTACTGGGCCCTAAAGCTTAGGAAATTGAATTATAGTATTGCAAGTGAAACCAATGGGAGCAGGGGCAGAAATGGCTGAAAGCATATTACACACACACACACACAGCTATACACAAACATATAAACACACACTCACACACACATCATTGGTAGACTCCTAAGAATATATCCTGAATGTTCAGACTAAAATGTACTGAGATGAGTCCCCAATTTTTTGTCCTTAGATTTTCATTTCGTGATTGTGTATCTCTATTTCAAGGGCTACCATTTTTTTAAAAAAGGAATAGACCTTTTTTTTTTTTTTTTTTTTTTTTTTTTAATCTTCACCTGAGGAGATTTTTTTTATTGATCTTCAGGGAGAGAGAGAGAGAGAAACATGGAAGTGAGAAAGAAACATCAACTGATTGCCTCCTGCATGCATCTGACCAGGACCAGGGATTGAACCTGCAATGTGAGGTTTATGCCCTTGATTGGGAATCGAATCCTTTGATCTGTGGACCAATGCTCTAACCACTGAGCAACCAGTCGGGGGCTAGACATCGGTTTTTTAACTCTAGAAATAAGTGAAATTAATATCAGAGAATAGAAAATATGGAAAGGTCTAGCCATATGGCTTAATAGTTAGAGCATCAACCTGCACACCCAAGGGTCTTGGATTGAGTTCCTGGTCAAGGACATATACCTGGTTTGCAGATTTGATCCCCGACCCCACTAGGGTTAAGTGTGAGAGACAGCTAATCAATGTGTCTCTCTCACATTAATGTTTCTCTCCTTTTCGCCCTCCTACTCTATCAATGGAAAATATATTCTCAGGTGAGTATTAATTTAAAAAAATAAATAAAATATGGAAAGGAGCACATTTGTTTACTAATGAAGGACTTTGTAATAATTAAAGCTGCCTTTAAAAAATAAAAGCATCACAAAGTAAACAAAAATTGAATAATGTGAAGTGTGATGGATTTTAACTAAATTTTATTGTGTTGATCATTTAACTATATACATATCTCAAATCATGTTGTATATCTTAAATTTATATAATGTTATATGTCAATTATATCTCAATACAACGGGGGGGTGGGGGGAATGTTGTTAAATAGAAGTGACCACTGTAGAGTAGAGATACTCATTGGGGTGGGTGCTGAATAACTTATCAGGAATGGTACTGAAGGGACTCCTTCACCACAGTTTAAATTAGCTCATCTCCAAGGTTCCTCTTCACTCAAGATTCTGAGGTGCCCATTGGAGGATTCTAACTTATAATTGTGCAAATAATCATTAAAAGAACATGGTTAGAGAAAGTGTTGTGTATAAATCAGTACTTCTCAGGTTATACTTTCTGAGAACCAGTTTCTAAAATAGAACTAAGTTTCTAAAACAGACTTTCAAAATAGCATTAAAGAGCCTTAAGTAAAGTAACGTGAAAAATCAGAGACAACTGTATTTCTTACATACAACTGAAGTCTTTTTTAATAGCATTTAAAAATGAAGAATTATTTAAAAAATTGTTATGGCAGTATCTAGTCATTGTTATTTAAAAATTGTTTGATTGAATTCTATTGTAATTAAGAAACAGTTTTATTTTTAAGAAATTTGTTTAATTGATACATATAACTAAAACTGTCTAAATAATTTTTTCTCATTAAAATAACCTGAATCAGGTAGGAGAAAGGATTAGTTATAGTCAGCCATATTTTATGTTTGGATTTTCTCTTTAAAATGCTGGGGTTTTTCCTTTTGGATTGATTTGCTTCATAAATTTTAACTTTAGGGCAGTGGTTATGAGATTTAGAAACTTTTAAGCTTTTGAAAGGCCATTTAATACCTACTTTGTAAAAGGTTAGTTGACTTAATTAGATAATATTGTAGAGATAATAAAATTAAGATTATAGGATATATCATTAATCTTGGTCCAGATGTCCCAAATGAATATACTTGGTCACAAAGGGATCCTAACTAGAAGAATATAATTGGATCAGATAGAAAAAAGGAAACCTACTTAGAAAAACCTAATCAGAGTTGACTTTTTAGATATAGCAGAGTGGTAGATTTCTCCTTTTGCTACTAAGATGATTTATTAAAGCATTTAAAGAAGTTGGTATTTTAAAAAACAAATGGATTAAGTACCTTTTGCCAGAGTACTTAAGTACATATCTTTTAGAGTTTCTAGATTTACATGGTATGAGTCTTAAAACCAGGCCTTCAAAAGTAAAAACTATTAACAAATGTTGCTTTTTTAAAATATATTTTATTGATTTTTTTACAGAGAGGAAGGGAGAGAGATAGAGAGCTAGAAACATCGATGAGAGAGAAACATCGACCAGCTGCCTCTTGCATACCCCCTACTGGGGATGTGCCCGCAACCAGGTACATGCCCTTGACCGGAATCGAACCTGGGACCTTTCAGTCCTCAGACCGACGCTCTACCACTGAGCCAAACCGGTCTCGGCCAAATGTTGCTTTTAAAGGAACTAATTTTATCTAAACATTAGCTTTTTCTATGCCTTTAGATTATAAATCAGGAAAATGATTTAAAAAATTAAAGTTTGTTGATATTCTTATCAAAGCCAAGCATTATATTATCAGAACTAAAACATTACATTATAGCTCACTTTGAACAGAGCATGTACTTTCATATCACACTGCCTGCTACTGAAACTATTTGACTAGAATTACTTACAACCTATATCTTAGAAGGCTTTTATATGCATGCCACCAAAGCAGTAATTCTGGGATGGAGCCTAGTAATATGTATTTAACAAACCTTCCAAGCAATTCTGCTGTACATTGAAAGTTGGAGAACCATTGATTAAAGCATGGAATTATTTTCCTTTTCCTCAGGAAAAAATTAAAATGTCCAATTGAAGTAAAATGTTTGCATTCCTCCCTAGAGAAAAGGGTAGCTTATCATCCTTCCACATACTACCAGCTCACCTTGTCCTTTTCTTCCTTCATTAGCTGAATATATTTCATCAGAACCAATACATGGTTGCTTTAACCAAACCCTCATTGTTGCTTATATGAGATGTCAACAAAGAGAACACCATGACTTCATTCATGTCACTGCTAATCCTGCTATGCATGAATGCTCAGATGATTTATGAACAGGTAGAGAATATTCAGTAAAATGTGATGGAGTCTTGATGTCCTTGAGACAAAGTAATAAGATTGCAAATAGAAACTCTTTTAAGCTTTTAAAAGGCCATCTAATGCCTACTTTGTAAAAGGTTAGCCATACATAACTAATATTTGTATGTTGGAGTAACAGCTGGCATAAGAAGTACTGAAATAAGAAATTAAATGTCAAGCAGGAAATTCACCATTAATTATAGTACCCAACAATAACAAAGAGTAGAGAACTGCCTTCAAATGCAGGTTCAGGACCCAGTATGGATTTGAGTAACAAAACAAACAAACAAAAAACTTATTCTTCTGACTTGATAGCATATTTCAGCACCATTTGTTAAAGCTAAATTTCAAAGAAAAATGACTAAAATACTTCCCACATTATGAACCCCTAAACCAGTGGTTCTCAACCTTTGTAATGCCGCAAACCTTTAATACAGTTCCTCACGTTGTGGTGACCCCAACCATAAAATTATTTTCATTGATACTTCCTAACTGTAATTTTGTTACTGTTATGAATCGTAGTATAAATATCTGTGTTTTCCGATGATCTTAGACAACCCTGCTAGCGACCCACAGGTTGAGAACCCCTGCTGTAGAGCCCAAGACCATCGGAAAACAGATATTTACATTACGATTCATTAACAGTAGCAAAATTAGTTATGAAATGGCAACGAAAATAATTTTATGGTTGGGGGTCACCACAACATGAGGAACTGTATTGAAGGGTCATGGCATTAGAAAGATTGAGACCACTGCCTAAACCTTAAAAGGCTCTGCTTTCCAGCCATGTAAAACAACTTTTTACTTCTATCTGTATTACCAACTTTTGGTAATTTTGGAATATCAAGTAGATGGATGTTAGCTTTTTCTTAATCATACAGTGACATTTTATTCTATCATTCTTATCTAAATGCACAGTGTAATAATATATATACTATATAATTATACCTGTTATTGTAAACTCAGTTAAGGCCTAAAAATTACAAGGTACAAAGATTTAGAATTGCATGTAAGTTGCAGTGAAGGAGAAATTTTCATGGGCTCTTTGAAAAGCTTACTGGAATTTTCGTGAACCTTTTTTGCTTAATGTATGTAATTGCTGGTTCATATAGCATGTTTAAGGATTATGACTGTATCTATGTAATATCTGCCTTTATTCTTTAATGATGATATGGATTATAATAATACATATCTTCATTTCCTGCTACATTTTAAGGCAGCTGAGTTAATTTTAATAATCTAGATATATTTGGCCAGTAATGTTTGTTTAGAAATAGAGTTTATAGTATCAGTGATTACTCTAATATGATAATGTTCTCTTATTTCAAACAGCTAGTTAAAGGCCTTCAGCAAGAGCTGAATCGATTATATTCCCTTTTCTGTTCTCGGAATCCAGACTTTGAAGAAAAAGGGGGTAAAGTCTCAATAGTGTCACATTCACTGGGATGTGTAATCACTTATGATATAATGACTGGCTGGAATCCAGTTCGATTCTATGAACAGTTGATGCAGAGGGAAGACGAGTTGCCTGATGAAGGATGGATGAGCTATGAAGAACGACACCTTCTTGATGAACTCTACATAACAAAACGAAGGTAAAATACACTAGTCTCCTAAAAGAATTTAAAATGTCTTCATGGAATTGCAGGGATTCTTAGGAAACTTTAAGATTTTCACAATAAAGAAAAAATACATTGTTCAGGATACAAAGATTACTAGGTAATATGGCTAATCAAGGAGAGACTGTTTTCATGCTAATTATATGCATTTTCCTCTAGAATTAAAATAGATGGTTTTGTTATCTGCCTCTTTTTCTTTCTGTCTTTCCTTCACAATTTATTAGGAATGAAATCTAAAACTTACTCCAAGCTGAGTCACTCTGTAGAATCCTTTGTAGTTTTACTAATCTTAAAGATGTGCCCTTACCTGTCTTTATTATTCTAGAAATAATTTTCTAGCCTTTTTTGGCAAATCTACTTTTGACAGATTTTATAATTTTAAAAAAAAAATTATTTTATAATTTTTTGGCAAATCTACTTTTGACAGATTTTATAATTTTATTATTAGGTGGCCCTCTGGATATTATCTTTTGCTACACCCCTCTCTTCATCTGTAGTTACATGCTCTTTCTTTGTCATTTTAGTAACTATCCAATTTTTTTTTATCCAATCAACTTAATAAAACAGTGTAAAATCACTCATTCTGGAAGTTAGCATTATATAAAAATCACCAATTGATACAATACCCAATTTTTACTCAGGAAGCCTTGGGTTTGTTTTAATCTTACGAAGTTTAAGGGTTCTATGTATAATCTTCAGTACCAGAGTAGATAACCTAAAGTATCTACTCAAAAATGTCATATTGGTAAACCTCAGAACAGCATTTTAGATATAAAATCCAGAAAGAAAGAAAAAATTTTTACCAGGCTTATAAAATGAATTGAACCCTTTTTAAAATAAAGTAGATATGGAACAATTAACGGGGGAAATTGAAATAACACAAATATTCACTAGCAAAGAAGGGTTGAAAAAAAATATGGTTTGTTCATGAAATAGACAGTTACACAGCTATTATAAAGATTAAAGTAGATCAGAAAGTAATGAAATAAAAAGAATCTTTAAGATTCATTATTAAGAATAGAAAAAAGAAAGCAATATATATGGTATGAACATTTGGTGTGATTTTTTTAAAAGGTATATGTATTATATATGCTATTTTATATGCTATTTTTTATTTTTCGGGTTTTTTGAGAGAGAGGAAGGGAGAGGGAGAGATAGAAACATCTATCGACTGCTTCCTGCATACCACCTATTGGGGATCAAGCCCAAAACCCAGGCATGTGCTCTAACTTGAAATCTAACAGGGACATCTTGGTTCATGAGATGAAGCTCAACCACTGAGCTACACTAGCCAGGCTATAGGTTTGCTTTTTTGCCTCACATTTTACTAGAGGATCCACCAAAAAATACTACTTGCGGCAGGTATAAAAAGTCTGAATACTTTTACTAATTATTTTGTAAAGTTTTATAGACTTTCTGTACTCCAGCAGGTGCACTTAATAAATACTGTCATTAGGAATTGATTTTGAGGAATTAAATAATTGGTCTTTAATTCTTTAGACTTTAGTATTTATGAAATTATAAATACAAATGTATACATAATTTTATACTGCTTCCTAGGCTGAGAGAAATAGAAGAAAGGCTAAATGGATTGAAGTCATCATCTATGACACAAATACCTGCCTTGAAATTTAAGGTAAGAAAAGACTGATGAGATTTTCATTATCTGTCTCACTTTTTGTTCAGACAGCATTTGCACCATGACATTCAGTGAAATCTAAATTATTATTTTATCAAATTAATTTATTGAACACATATGTTGGGCATTGCTAGTTTATAGATTCTACAAAGAAAACAATGAACAAGACAGTTCCCCAGCCCTTAGGATATGTAACACAGTGTTATGGGTTATTAGCAGGGTGCAGGATGATGTACGTATGAAAAGGGGGTTTTAATTTTGGCTATAAAGGATCACAAAGGAATGACACTTATACTTGTTATCAATAAACTGGAATGTTGTCAAGTGGAGGAATGGAAAAAATGCTATTCTGTGTAAAAGAAAGAACATAAAGATATGGAGGGATATAATGTTACCCTGTTTCCCCCAAAATAAGACAGTGTCTTATATTAATTTTTGCTCCCAAAGATGCACTAGGTCTTATTTTCAAGGGATGTCTTATTTTTCCATGAAGAATACAGTACACATTTATTGTTAAATGAAAATAAGGGAAATTTATTACCTGTATACGGTACAGTAGTACGGTAGTTGTCAACACAAACCAGACAAACTGTGAATCCTACAGTATCAAGAATTTACTCATTTATTCAATGACAATCATGTCATCATCTTCTGGAATATCATCATAACAATCCAATTCCTGAATTTCCTGGTGTATTTCTTGTGACTCCATTTCTTTCAGAATCAGTGGACCAAATCTCTCATGTTTAGCAATAACATTCTGAGACAGAGCCTGGGGGGGACTTATTTTCGGGGGGATGCCTTATATTTTACTCAAAAGGAAACCTGTAAGTAGGTCTTATTTTCAGAAAATGTCTTATTTTTGTGGAAACACGGTAGTACCTCCAAGAAAAACAAAATAATCTCAAGTAGTGGGGGAGGGGAGATAAGAGGCAGATCTGGGAAATATTTAATAGTTAGAATTAACAAATCTTAGTGACCAGCTATTTGTAGATGGTAAGAAAAATAAGTGGATGATTCTAGGGCTGGAAATATGGTATTTCAGTCACTGAAAAATATGTAACCAAAGCACAAGATGACACATGTGTTTAGTTTTGGAGCAGGTTGAGCAAACCATTTGGGCTGTCATGGACAGGACTCAGGGAAAGGGGGCTTTGGAAGAGCTAGAAGTTAAGACTTATCCTATCTAATAAAAGAATAATATGCAAATTGACCATCACTCTAGCACATAAGATGGCAGCCCCCATGTGGTCAAAGATGGCTGCACCCATGAGGACACAAGATGGCCACCACAAGATGGATAGCAGGGGGGGCAGTTGGAAGGGACCAGGCCTGCAAGGGAGGGCAGTTGGGGGCAATCAAGCCTGCAGGGGAGGGCAGTTAAGGGTGACCAGGCCTGCAGAGGAGGGAAGTTGGAGGCGATCAGGCCTGCAGGGAAGGGGAGTTCGGGGGGACCAGGCCTGCAGGGGAGGGCAGTTAGGAGCAAACAGGCTGGCAGGGGAACAGTTAGGCATCAATCAAACTGGCAATCAGAAGCAGTTAGGGGCAATAAGGAAGGCAGGCAGGCAAGCAGTTGGGAGCCAGCAGTGAGAGGGATCACAGATTGGAGAGGGTGCAGTCTGGGCCGAGGGACACCCCTTCTCCTCCCCTCCATGCACGAATTTTGTGCACCAGGCCTCTATTATTTGATATGTACAATGCAAAACTTTTTAGGGTTTTTGAGCACCAGAATGGAGCTGTCAAAAGCAAATCACAGGAACTTAACATACAGGTTAAGTAATGGAAACATACAGAATTTTTTTTAAATAGTAAGAATTTGGGGGAATGCTTTGTAAAGTATATCATTGTCTAACCACTGTGCTGTATACCTGAATCTAATACTTAAAATGATATTGCATGTAAACTGAGGATTTAGTTTCACATTACTAGAAATTATGCACCATAACTGTGTATCTTAATCTATATATATATTATATATATATGTATGTATGTATGTATGTGTGTGTGTATGTATGTATGTATGTATGTATTGTATATATAACTGATATGCAAAGTGTCCCCGCAGGAGTTTGGCCAGGAGAACAGGAGTTCGGTCACACACTGATGAACGCTGACCATCAGGGGGCAGCACAGAACATGACAGGTGACCAGTGGTGGCAGCAGGGCTGAGAGAGTGAGGGAAGGATGAGGCAGGGAGACGGAGAACCTGATTGGTCCTGATCACCAGCCAGGCCTAAAGACTCTATCTACCCTTGCATGAATTTTGTGCACTGGGCCTCTAGTATAATATAAAGTCATATGTAGTCTAATAATATGGATTTTTAATTGCTATTTAATTACTCAGGAAAAGTACAGAAAGTATAGAAATCTGAAGTTTAAAAAGGAAGAGCTGATGAATTGAAAAATTAATATTTAGGACTCCAGAGTTCTAATTTCTGTGCCTATTAATTAGCAGATAGATTTACTTTCAGAATACAGGGTGTTAGATCTGTTATGAGTGACCACTGAACTTAACACAAGAAAAACATAGATATTGACAAACTTTGGTCTGGAGAGTGGGAAACTTTTATTCTGATCAGGAGGATTTGCCACCAACTAATTATGTAATATTAGCCAAATCATTAAACATCTCTGAATTCATCTTTTTAATCATCTCTGGACAATGAGGATAGACTAAATGTCTAAAGCTCTTTTTCATCTTTAAAAAATTATTTGATAGGGGGAAAAAAATCAGTCCACCCTCAGGGGGAAGCAAGAGTATTAATACATGCTCTCTGCAATTGAAATCTTCTGCATGTCCCTTTCTTCACAGGGTTGATGTTAGAAGGCAGGGTTAACAGGAGGCTATGGCCTATGCCGAGCAGGTAATAATAAGTTAAAATTTTGGAGCTCCAGAACACAAGTCCCCAATTGGTGCAATTATGCAGATTCAGAGGAACTCTACACTCCACCACTGAAAGATCAAATTTCGCCTAGGATAAGGAGGGAGAGAACTACAAACCACACATCCAAAGAGAGACCATAGTGAGACAAAGAAACAGCCCGCATATGAAAGAAAAGCAGGCATCACCAGAAAAGGAAGTAAACGAGATAGAGGCAAGCAACATGTCAGAGAAAGAATTCAGAGAAATGGTCAGATGATGTCTGAAAAGAATGGAAGACAAATTTAACAATATGAGTAAGAACCAAGAGGAAATGAAGAAGAACCAAGAAAAAATGAAAAATAACATCGCTGCTGAATAGAAAACATCAAGAGTAGACTAGGAGAAGCAGAGGACGGCATCAGTGAGCTAGAAGACAAGGTGGGGAAAATACCCAATTAGAGCATCTTCTAGAAAAAAACAAATTAAAAAGCAGGAGGAGAGCCTAAGGGAAATTTGGAACAAAACAAAACAATATCCGCATAATAGGCTTCCAGAAGGGAAGGAGAGGAAACTGATCAAGGAATAGAAAACCTGTTTGAAGAAATAATAACAGAAAATTCCCCTGATATAGGGAAGAAAAAACACACAAATCCAAGAAGCTCACAGAGTCCCAAACAAAATGAATCCCAAAAGACCAAAGCCAAGGCACATTATAATTAAATTGGCAAACACCAACAACAAACTAAGAATCTTAAAAGCAGCCAGAGAGAGACAAAGTTATATACAAAGGAACCCCCATCAGACTAGCAACTGATTTCTCAACAGAAACTCATCAAGCCAGAAGAGAATGGAATGGAATGAAATATACAAAGTCACACAAAGGAAGGGTCTGAATCTAAGAATACTGTACCCAGCAAGGCTATCAATCAAAATCGAAGAGAAATCAGGAGCTTCACAGACAAAAAAAGGACTAAGGGAATTTATCACCAGCAAACTAGCAATGCAAGAAATGCTAAACGGTCTGCTGTAAATATATATATATATATATATATATATATATAGCAAAGAAAGAACACAAGGGTAAAGAATTAAAATGGCAACAAATAAGTACCTATCAATAATAATTTTAAATGTAAATGGATTAAATGCCCCAATCAAAAGACACAGGGTAACGGATTAGGTAAGAAAACAAGACCCATATATCTGCTGTCTACAAGAAATCCACCTCAGAGAAAAACATGCATACAGACTGAGGGTGGAGGGATGGAAAAAGGTTTTCCAGGCGAATGGAAATGAAAATAAAGCTGGAATAGCAATACTTATATCTGACAAATTAGATCTCAGAGTGAAGGACATAACAAGAGATAAGGAAGGTCACTTCATAAAACTAAAGGGAGCAATCCAACAAGAAGAAATAACCCTGGTAAACATATATACACCCAATACAGGAGCACCCAAATACATTTAAAAAAAAAAAAAAAAAAAAAAAAAAAACTGCTGGAGGACAATAAGGGAGAGATTAATAGCAATACAATCATACCGTGTTTCCCCGAAAATAAAACATCCTCCAAAAACAAGACCTACTTACAGGTTTCCTTCTGAATGAAATATAAGGCATCCCCCCGAAAATAAGGCCCTCCCTCTAGGCTCTGTCTCAGAATGAAAATTAATTTACCGTAAACTGGTCGCTAGGGCCACCCGGACTGGCATCTAGCAACCAGTGACGTTATGCGGAGTCCTGAAGTCGCTGCTGTGTGGAGGCTGAGTGGAGGTTGGAGTGAGCGGTGAACGCGGGGCGGGAGAGAGGAGGAGACTTTCGCAGATGCGTGTAAAAGAACAGGTTTAGAGCGGACGGGACGCGGCGAAGGTGGTGAGTGCTGGTCTGTCTCTGGTGACACTACCTGATGCTCTCGGCCATCCTCATGATGACTGAAGGTTCTTAGTCAGTGGCAGACCCTACTCCAGCCCAGATCCAGGCCCCAGCAAGCCCAGTGACAGTCCCCAGGAAGGCCCCAGGGGGTAAATGTCTGATAAAGGGGTAGGTGGGATGTCTGGTGAAGGTGTTCAGTGGCACAGGGGTGTGGGAGGGAGATTACTTAAAATGACACAGGAGGATCAGAGGGGGCAATCAAA